TCTAATATTATGATTTGAGATTATTTTTAGTATTATGTTTTAGTAAAATAATACAATAGCATCATTTGATTATATAATTTTTTAGTAATAATTATTTTTAATATTTTTATAACAAAATAAATTATTTTAATTCAAATTAAATTAAATTGATTAAATTTATATTTTAATTTTATATGTAATTATTATAAATTTAGTAACTGTTTTTGTCAAATGATTATAACAATTTGATTATAATTATTTTAGAAAATTATTTTAAAATAATATCATTTTGATAATTTATATCAAAACACAATTGTAATTAGTTAACCATTCACTTGTGATTACAACTAACCACAATTACCACCAACAACAACTTATTAATCATTCAGTACCATCGCCAACAATCACTAGCAAACACAACGGTAGAACCAGTCATCCCCATAATAATCTACAATCTTTTTCTACGATTTCTACAATAGTATATGTACATTCACCATCAATTCATGAATACATTAATTCTATGGTAGTTGATGTCAAATCATCTTAAGATTTTGTTTGCAACTTCTAGTAAAATATTATGTATGGGGCTGGATTTATGTCAAGTTTCAGTCTTTTTATTTGGATTATATTTTTTACATTTCATTTAGAAAAAGAAGAAAAAAAAGGTCGACATTTTCTATAGATGTTTTAAACATTTGATAATTTGGAATATGTAAACGGCACTATTACTGTAATGGGACCAAGATTTGGGACAGCTAAGCTAATCTTTAATGTTCCTTGTCGAGCATTAGAAAGTGTCGATCCTAAAACTTATCCAACAACACTTTGTAAAAGTGGGACTTAGCCAAAATAAAGAGTTAGTTGGCAAACTTATCCTCTTGTAATCACCCCGAAAATATTATATATTGATATTATATATTGGGAAAGAGCATTCACATGGTTTTCTCCTATCTTTTTAGAAATTTACCTGGACCAAATATTCGGTAAACTTACACGTTAGAAAAAAACTAAAAATTTGAACGATCAAATATGTTACTCTTGGGGAAAGTCTTTAACTTCGTTGGAAAATGACAACACCCTCTACACGATCTGTAGTGTATATATATACAGTATCTTTAAGAATATTTAACTATGTAAATGTGTTTTGTGAATGTTATTATTGCCTAGTACCACGTTAATGACTAACTCGTTGTCGTTTATATCCCCAAGTTGGTTTGGGACAAGAGCTTACAACGTTGGAAAACAAAATTAAATTATGTACAAGTTTTTGAAATCGCGTTTTAGCCCAAAACAAGTGAACGGTCCAATGACCAGAAACCGGAAATTTTACTTATCCTAAGGCCATCGTTCATGCATTTTGGATATTGGGTTGATATATATACATATATGATATCTCGTAAAATTCGTCGATCATAAACTTTAGGTGTTTCGTCCGAAATTTCTAAAATTAATTTTACTCCCCATAGTGCATCGTCAATTTGTGTATAATTAGCGATTGAACATGCCTTGCTTTTTCTCCAAATTGTATCCTTAATCTATCATATGTTAGATGAATACTGCGGGAAAGAACAATAAAATGGTGAAATCGAAATGAAGACAATAGAACCCGGATATAATCTTCTAGGCGCGTAGAACACTTTCCTAAAACGTTATTCCCTCCCCTACCGAGCAAAGGAGAAACCCGAGAATACGTTTAGAGATACAAAGAAGATCCGCAACGAATGATTTGCTCCTCAAACGTTGCCCAAAACAGAAAAACCGAGAAAGAGGATGAACAGTAAAAGATGAAGAAGAAGTAGCAAGTTTCTTCTTCAAAAAGGCTCACAAATCTCTCAAGATCAATTAGATTTCGTATGTCAACATTCTCTGACGTTCTTGGCTTTAAAAGCACAAGAGACATGATCAAAAGTTGTATCCATTTAGTAGTTTTCATGCGAAAGGCCGCATTTGTTCATATTACAGACATTTAACACGG